GTTTGTGGAGCTCTCTAGGACCTTGCTTTCAAAATGCAATGATTGACTTTATTTATTGAAAAATTGTGATAAAATCATATAGGTGATAAGTATGCAATCTCAAGGGCAGGACTTAAAAGTCAAAAGAAGCAGGTTAAACATTTGAAGAAGAAGTCACTTTGGTCGTGCAGTTTGGAGGAGGTAACTTTTGGTGGTTTCTTTAGATGAATCTGTATCTCACATTCTCCTTTGCTCTATATCTGTCTTTCGTGGGTTCAGTTCCATTCATAATCTTTTGGGTTACAGATAATGGAGAAGCTTGTAGACATTGTCCTTTTTTTGCATTTGGAGATAAACAATGCCTTTGGCACTGCAGGTTCACCTACTTGCCCTTGTGTTCTGTAATGAAAGCCACTTTTTTTTTTTTTTAAAGAAAAAGCATAATTGTAATGGTTTTTTTCCATGGACGCATGCAGTTGATCATAAACCAGCGATTGGATATGTAAGCAATCACCAAAGACTAGGTCCTGCTGGCCTTGCTTTGCATTATGCAAATATAGTGCTCCAAATTGATACTCTTGTGAGTTAATTCTTTCTAAGATTTATTTTTCATTGACTGTCTTCATAGTACTGTCTTCATAGTTTTATGGTTTTGATATCTTCAGCCAGATGAAAATATGACAGGTTTCTGTAGCCTCTTCTCTCATTGCGTGTTAGGATCAAATTTCTTCCTCCTTTCTTCTCTTTTACCTACTCATTTTTTGCACCAAAAGTTGACGCCTGGTATTTTCTTTTCACCCAGTTTATCCTTAGTTTTAAAGTTTGTTCATGAATGTTGGTGCTCTTTTTTATTCATGGCAGTTACTTTTTACCCATTAAGGGATCTAAACATAACAGTGCTATGTATATATATTTCCGTTACTTGTTTTGGCTCGCATGCTGTGCTTTACGAATATCTTTAACTAAAAGCACAATAAAGTAATTGGGAGCTAATTCACTCTCTATTTGGTTTATGATTTCTATCCTAAGCTTACACTAGGCTCTACAGCAGTTTTGACTGTTTGATTATGATGAGTGGGATATAATTTACTCAACGTGGAATCTCAGTGTACCTTCCTGGTCTATTGGGGTTAGTGCTTCAGGGCTTGGAAACAATGAGGGTTCTTAACTAATCAAGTTGTGCCTTAAGGTGTGGAAGAAGTGAGAGACTTCAGACTAGCTACTGTGTGCTGGTGGTGAAGAATAGACTTCTACCTGAAGGATGCTGTGATGTGTTTCTCTCATTCCCTTTCTCTCTGCCTACTTCTCAAGTGGTGAAAATATGAGAGGAGTGGAGTTTCCTCAGATTTGACCTTTGTGCTGATAGGAATGTGAGAGCGTGACGTGACATGCCATTTGTAAGGGGAGATTAGGTGTAAAATGGCTGTTCTTTTGTTTGTCATAAATGTTGCATGTCTTGCACAAGTATCTGTTCCTTAGGTATTGTACCCTTTAAATTTAAGGTATGAGGATGATATGCTTATTACTAATGGGCATGCTTTGACCATTATAGACAAAACATCAACTGGTGCCTTTAAGCTAGATCTTCCTCTTGGCTCACCTCAGCTTTTATCTCCTTAGCAAAGCCAGGCATAATGCGGATAAAACAAATCTGGTGGCACATAAAAAAGTGAAGCAAGAATATTTACTTAAACTACTTTGGTCACACTAATTCTAATTAACACATTTGCTGCCTTGTGTTATTGCGCTTTATAAATAGAGCATTGTACTCAGTCAGTGTTGACACTGTCAGGTAGCCAACTCTAGTTCGATGCCTGAAAATACAAGGGACGGATTATACCAGAGCTTGCCTCCTAACATGAAATTAGCTCTGCGATCCAAATTACCATCTGTTCATGTTGCAGAAGATGTATGATCTCATCTGTTACTACTTCATTTTAGTATCACTTTAAACATCATAATTACTTCAGTGCTAAGGAAAGTCTTAAAATTTGTTATTTCTTATGCTTCCGGCTTTCCTCTTCCAACCTAAAGTAGAAATGTAGAATATCTTCCATATTAATCTTCCTTGTGTTCGTGTTTGTCCTCATTTCCCACAGCGCACGGTAGAAGATATAAAAGAGGAGATTGAGAAAACATTGCATTGGCTTGTTCCAGTCGCCACAAACACAGCCAAGTAAGATGCCTGGCTTTTCTTCAAATGGCTTTTCAGTGAGAAGTTTCCTTTAAGCATCAATTTAATTCGTTTCATTTCTAATCTACTCCTATTCATGTTGCTCCAAAATTGAGTCAGAGCGCATCATGGTTTTGGCTGGGTTGGGGAGTGGGCAAGCGCTGGGTGAGTAACAAATAATTGCTTGTTCTATTATGAATGTATATTATCTAACTTTGTACGTCTTTCTTCTGCCTCCATTTTCCATTCCGTTTCTCATACATCAATCTTGCAGCTCTGAGACAAATTTGAAGACTGCGCAGACCTCTGCAATGCGGATTGAGACATTCCATCATGCAGACAAGAACAAAGTAGAAAAATATATTCTTGAACTTCTCTTATGGCTTCAACGCTTGGCCATTCAAAGTGGAGCTGGCGTTGATGTCGGTGGAGTGAGGTCTACCACGAAGTCTACTCATCTGGCTCCCCTGCAAAAAAAACGTCAGCAACCGAGAACTGCCAACACGCCGTATCTAACAATCAGTGAGCAAAACTTGGTGCAACTTGTTAGTAAGAAAGTATGGATTAAAGGGATGAGTAAGAGCTGGGACTTTGACAGGATGGAAGCTAGGTTGAGAGAGAATAGCAGACTCACCAAAAGTTGGAGCCTTTCGTCAAGCAGAAGCATAGATATTTCCTTCAACAGGATTTCATCCAAGCTCCCTGTGATTGATTTTGGTGCCGACAAAGAGAGAGCATTGGATGTTATTGACAGAGTAGGGGTTGTGAGGTAATTTTTAGGAACGCTTGATTGTCTTTGAAACAAAGGGAAGGATGAGTGTTTTTGAGAGCCAAGCTTTGCAATCAAATCACCATTAGTACCCTCTTACCCTTGATGAAATTAATCCATCTTATTTATTTTGTTAGTTGGGAAAATGGCCAATTGGGCATTCTTGCTTGACATGATTGCTAAAAAAAATTGAAAGATTCAGCCTGTGCAAGATCAGGAATAGACACTTGAGTAACCTAGATGTAAATCATAGGAAAGAAATTTATGACAATTTTCCTTGTATTTTTTTAATTGTTCTTATTTATATTTTTCCTTTAAATTTGAGCCGTTTGAAACCTCTTTAGCCATTGCACTTTTGACTTGGATTTTGATTTCTTTTTCTCTTTTAATTGAAAGGAGGCTAAACTAGCCTTGTGAGAGATTAAACTCACCTCCTACTTTATATAAAGAAATCATTTTTTTTCTTTAGTGAGAATCAAGAAATCATTTTGTTACTAAAGCAATGCACCAAGTGCAGTGACTTCTGATCTCTATTGTTCTGAGGGGGTGTGTCACGTGTGTGTGTGTGAACCTCATTCATTTTCAGCCATAACACAGAAGCAACCTCCTCCTCCCCCACTCAAAAAAAACAAAAAACAAAAAACAAAAAAAAAACAAAAAAACAAAACAAAAAAGGAAAAAAAACACACACACACACACACCCCCACAGAGACAGTTTTATGACCCCTGACTCAGGGGTGCAATATAATTAAAAAAAAATAATGTTTAAAAAATTGTTATGGACATTTTTTATTTGATATATGAAAATGAAAAAAAATGGCATATTCAATATAAAATTAGTGAGTTTAAAATTTATATTTAAAGTTTATTAGGTTGTGAGTTAAATTATAACACACACATATAAATTATGTATAAAAAACTATTTAAATAAAATATATTTAGATATAAATGAAGAACAAATGATTTCAAATAATAAGTGTAAGGTATGCAAATATTAAGAACAAGAAATATAAATACTTATATCTTACAAAATCTGATAGTAAAATAAAATATCTGCATTTTTTAATGTAAAATAAAGCGTATCTTGTAAAATGAATGGAAATAATGTGATTGTAAGTGGTCTCTTGAGCAAACACAATAAACTAGCCAAGTGAGGTGCACAATTCAAGCTTTCTCTTCCTTAGGTGGCAGGAATATATTCCTAGTTTCGCTCTCCATGGTCACACCTCTTCTACACGTTAAATTGCCACCAGTGGAGAAAAGGAGAAACAACTGACAGAAAGCAGGTGAGAGGGATGTTGGGCCATTGTTAAAAGACCCTTGAAAAAAAAAAAAAAACATGAAACATGAGTTGATGGGTTAAGCTTTTCTTTTCTTTTCTTTTTTGGACTCATGCCTAAAAATATCAAGAAATTTTAGTATAATCAAGTTTATGGGTTCAACCTTTTAAGTTCTATAAAAACAGGCTCAAGTGATTGATTTTTTGTTTTATTCCTAAAAAAATAAAATATTAAATTTATATTTTAAAATTTATATTTATATTTTAAAATTAGAATTTGTATTACTTACTTTTAATTTTTAAACATTATAATTTATATTTTAAAAAATATAGTATTATAATTTCAAAATTATAAAAAAAGGATTCATTGGGCTGACTCTAAACTTGATCAATAAGGATTGAGTTTAAAAAAATATCACTTTTAAGGTAAATAAGATTTTGGGCTAGTACTCATATAAGCCAAGCCCACAAGAGCTCACCCAATTATTGGCTCTATAAAAAACATAGTTTATATATAATATAATATAAGGCTGTGTCACTTTTTTTATTCCAATTTTTCTGAAATATAGATCCTTATCAATAGATAGCCAAGTTTTGATACACACACATCAATTTCATGTAATATTAGTACCATATATATTTGATATTTTATTGCAAACTTTATAATTTACATGGGAGATGATACCACAATAAAAATATACAATAAACACAAACCCAAACACCAGCCAATACTTCTTTTTTTTTTTTAAGTACAATAAGTAGATAATAAAGATTCTTTTCCCCAAATATTGATCTCCTAACTAAGTAACCAAACGAATACTTCTTTGGGGAAAAAAAAGGAAAAAGAGAGACGCAAATTGGTCATGCAAATTTAGCCGATAGCCCCCTAGTAGGGGATTGTTGAAGCAGGCATCAAGGAGGGCATTAACTTTGGTGTATTTGTAGTTAGGATATAACTGTGAAGCCTCTACATCTTGAGCACTCAATTCAAACATCGTTTCTGTCCCTTTCACGAATACGTTGTGAAGTATAGCCATTGCTATATTGTCTGGAAAATCTAGTGCTGCAGAACGTCCATTGATTTTTTATTAACTAACTTCACTGTCCCAAGTAATTTGCAAAAAACATAATAGCTCAAACATATAATAACTATTATTATATCTTACTTTCACATAGCTTCACCATTTCCTGCTTAGTTATATGTTCCCGTTTAAAGGCACGATTTGTCCTATTCTCCCATAAAGTTATCAACTCCAACTGGGAAATGATGTTCCCTTCAGGTCTAATGATAACCACTCGATTTTCTGCTCTTTCATCTGTTGCTGCTTTCATAGTGTAAAATGCCACATCTTCCTCATAATTCAACACAGCTGCAACATACATATGCGTGTGTGTCCCTCAAGTTTCGCGATTACTTGGAAACTTTTAATCTTGTATGATGTGTGTGTGTGTGTGGGGTTTTGATTATAATAAGAACGTACCCTTAGCTTCACCAGTGCCATAAACAAGAAGGTGTTGGAGTTTGAGGTCATGTGGGTGAAGCAGATAACTGAGGAAGTAGGCTGCAAAAGAGTTGGCAGAGACATAAGTGTAGGAGATTCTTGCTTCTTCTGTTGCCCTTCTTATCTTCCTCTTGTTTTCAAGAAGGGCCTCGAATGGTGGAAGCCCCTTTACTCTATCCACTTCACTTCCATATTCTGAGGGAACAAATCTCTGTCACAACATAATATAACAAGACATGATAATCATTAATACTTGTGTTTGTGTATACACATATGTTACGGTTGAGAATATTGTTTGAAAAAGTAACCTTAATATTGCCGGCTTGTTTGATGGCCTGGATTATCTTGAGTTGCTCCAGATGCTGAGGAACAGCGAGCGTGGAAATGACAACATCAACCTGTTGAAGACAAGAGACTAGCTTCTCCTTCTGATCTAACTCCCCCTATATTTGAGAAACAATGAATTTTACACACACACACACATATTATATGATATGAACATGTAATGTAAGAGAAGATTAAGGAGGATAGGTTACTTGAAATAGGGTAAGGCCCAGAGATTGAAGATGGTGGAGCTTGGAGAGGTGAGTTGAAGTATGAATGGGACGAACATAAGCAAAAGTAGGATGACCCAGGGAAAGGCTTGCCTTCACCATGTATTCCCCAAGATAACCTGTTGCTCCTACTATTAGTATTTTGCTCTTCTCACTATCCCCCATTATTGCCTTTGTTATTTTGATATAAAACTTGATTATATGATTTCTTAATGCTACAAGCAACTCTTTATACAAGAGCTACGTGAACAACAGTAAGTTTAAAAATTCAAGTCATTCTCTTGACATGGACCCTACAGTAAGGTGTCACAAATTGTCAGCATTATCGTAGGTATAGATTTGGAGTTTAGTGCATATTTAAAATTAGGTATATCTTTGGGAGAATCTCACTTAGGGCCTTCAAAACACAAAAATTTACACTGCAGGCCCAATAAAATTCAAAAACACATTACAAGTCTGGGAGTTCTTCTTACAAATTTTGTTGTGGACCAAAAAAAAACACATTTGCCTTTGTCTCAGTAGAATTTTCATGTATATACAACGCAATATCCATAAATTCTCAATATAATGTTCATAAATACACAACACATTGGTAGACATTAACTTAAAGTATGTTGTTTCAATGAAAGTATGTTGTTCATTATATATTTTACGTTTTACAAATGTTGCAAGTTTACATATGTTCATTATGTTGAGAATTGATAGACATTATGTTATGTATCATGGATATTGTGTTGTTCATCATTTTCTTGCTTGTACATTTCACTTTAAATTAAACCATATTTACTAGATGTGTTGTGCATTCATGAATATTGTGTCAAGAATTTGTAGACATCGTGTTGTGTATACATAGACATGCCCTTAAAATAAGGGCAATTGCATCTTTTCATTCACAATAAAATTTGCAAGAAAGGTCCTTAGACCTATAATATAAATTTTTGTATTTTAGAGGCCTTAGTGAAATTCTCCTTATATCTTTTCACAAGCTCTTGTGATGTTACATCATCAATATCACCAATATATATTCTTAATAGTAGTTCCACTGAGCCAGGAGCCTAAAATATAGCTTCATGGCTCTAGACACAATTCACCATTCATAAAGCCAACAACTATTTTTTTGGTTTCGTGCCATGGTGGTTGATATTTTGGGTTTGGTAAGGATTGTTAACATTGGGCTTTTTGAAAAAGTCTACTTCTATCTATTGTCAACATCAAAAGTATAACGTTGACCTTATTTTCAAAATTTAAATTAATTTTTTAATTCTTTTTTGTTTTATCACTTCCTCATTTGTCTTGGTTTTTTTCATTTTGAAAGATCCTCTCACTCATTGGTTTGGGTGCTCATCACATGATGGTGTTTATCATGTGATGAGCAAGGACCATCCAAATTCATAGTTTTTATTTTATTTTTTGATTAATATTTATTAAAATTAAAATTTATTTATTTTTAATCAATCTACCTTATCAACCATTTTAATAATACAAATTTAATTTAAACAAATAAAAAAATAATGAATATCCAATTTAATAATAAAAGATTAATTTTTTTAAATTTTTATTTTAGTAATAATAATATTAAGAATAAAGATAATATCTAAATTGATACTCTAAAAAAATTTTAAAAAAATTTGTGAGTTAAAAATTTTAAAATTGGATTGTTCAGAGCAATTTTGGATAATTAATTTATAAAAATTCTAAAAACTTTTAATATTGACTTACACCATAAGATTAAATCTATATTGTCTAAATTAATAATAAAATAAATTTATTATTTTTATAATTTTTATTTTAATTATTATAAAATAAAAAACTTTGATTTGAACCGTCTAGATTATCTCGATAGTTTAGATTACTTATCACATGATGTTCACCCAACCCAAACCCAAAAAGAAATATAAATAAATTGTTTGGTTGATCTAATATGGGATTCACGGTGAAGAAGGGACTCAAAAATTATGTTAAATAGCTCTGACAAGACCTTCTTCAAACCAAGGTTTCGCCTTTTCTCTTTCTATTTTTCTACTTTTGATTCTATTTCATTAATCCTTTGTTTGGTTGAAAGTTTTGCTCCCTTCTCTTTGGAAATTGAATGGCGAAATATCATCTGGGTTCGATTTTATGAATTTTCTCACATTAATGTCAATTTCCTTTTGAGGATCAAACTAGGTAATCATAGCAAGAGTGTTGTTTGGAATCAGCGATGTAGTGTCTCAAAAGCTAACGGGCACACAAAAAATTCAACTTAGACAGCTTCTTCTCAAAGTGGTAAGTCTGTAATCTCGAGTGTTCATCTATAAGAGACGCATTGGATTATTGAGAAGTGACAAAATGAATTGGGTTGGAAATTGAGTAATTAAAACAAAGTGGACTGCATGAACATAAATTGTTTGTAATAATGCCAAACTGAGTATGTATATGACATATTTTGTCCCTTGGGAGATATTTGTGCACCTTGTGGTTACATTTTAATTTATGAATGAAGAGCCAGGACAGATATACATGAAAGTATATCACACGTTTTCTATCTAATGAAGGTAAAAGAATGTGTGAAACTAGAAAAAAAAAACGTTATAAAAGAGTCTAAGACAAAAAAAAAATGTTATAAAAGAGTTCAAGACCAAGGGGCTTCGTTGTGATTTTTGTGGAGAATACGTGAACTTTGTTTCCATTATAATTTTTTTTCTTCTACTGAAATGCAAAGTTACTTGTAATATCCTAAATTTTAAATAATAAATAAATTATAAAATTTAAATTTTTGTTGAGAATTTAAAATTAGAAATTCATATTATTTCAAAGTTTAGAATAAATAAATTTGTATTCGAGATTACTTGAAGTTAATAGCATATTTAAGTATTCAAATATGAATTAATTTAAGTTCAAAATTATATAAAAGATGTTTACTAACTTGAATTATGACCAAATATATATATACATATATAAAGGGAAAAAAGTCCTCCCTTAGTTTGAAATAATAATAATAATAATAATGAATAATAAATAGTTGTAAAATTTATTTTCTATTATAAATATCTCTCCTCCCCTTCTCGTTTTTGCACCCTCAATCTTTTTTTCTTCCTTCTCCTCCTCTTCTTTGTTTCCCATCTACGTGGGCTATTTTCAAGTTAGGTTTTAACTTTTAAAATGATTTAGGAATTCATAATAACTCTTTTTTGCAAAAAAATTCATTAATATTTTCTACTCATTTAGAAATGTCTAATAGTAGTATTATTTTGATGTATAGAGAAAATTTTTAATTTAAATTTTCTTATAAGATAGTTAATATAAGGTTATGATGATTTAAAAATAAATGTTGAGGTTGCTGAAAGTATAATAAATACTATAAAATATTTTTGAGGTTAGAACTTAAATTTGAGAATTTTTTAGTTAAACTCTAAACTTATATGGTTGAATTTATATTAGATATGAGATGTTAGGATATTTTTTTTATTATTAGATATTTATTTGAATATAAATAAATATTTCTAAGGCTATAAAATGGTAATTTGAGGCTTGAGGGTAAATTTTAAATTTCAAATTTATTTTTGGATGAACTTTTGAAAAAAAATAAATTGATGAAATTTTGATATTATGATTGATTTAAGACCTAGATATAGCCTTTTGAGATATGAGAATTTTAGAAAAGAATTTAGAAAATTAAATGAGGACTAATTTTAAATTAGTGTTAATATAAAAATTAGGCTTAAACTTTCTAACTATTTAAATTAAAATTATTTATTAATTTTTAATATAAAATTAATATTTAGTATAATAAAATTAATATTATATATATATATATATATATATTATTAAATGGCTGTGCAAATTGTGTTTTCCAAGAAAATGACGAAAGAGACGTTGTACAGAGGAACGTATTATTCAAAATATGAAATAATCATTGTTAATGTATGTAATCTATCTTCGTATATTATCTAACTTTGTAGGTCTTTCTTCTGCCTCCATTTTCCATTCCGTTTCTCATGCATCAATCTTGCAGCACTGAGACAAATTTGAAGACTGCGCAGACCTCTGCAATGCGGATTGAGACATTCCATCATGCAGACAAGAACAAAGTAGAAAAATATATTCTTGAACTTCTCTTGCTGGCTTCAACGCTTGGCCATTCAAAGTAGAGCTGGCGTTAATGTCGGTGGAGTGAGGTCTGCCGCGAAGTCTACTCATATGGCTACCCTGCAAAAAACACGTCAGCAACTGAGAACTGCCAACACGCCGTATCTAACAATCAGTGACCAAAACTTGGTGCAACTTGTTAGTAAGAACGTATGGATTAAAGGGATGAGTAAAAGCTGGGACTTTGACAGGATGGAAGTTAGGTTGAGAGAGAATAGCAGACTCACCAAAAGCTGAAGCCTTTCGTCAAGCAGAAGCATAGATATTTCCTTCAACAGGATTTCATCCAAGCTTCCTGTGATTGATTTTGGTGCCGACAAAGAGAGAGCATTGAATGTTATAGACAGAGTAGAGGTTGTGAGGTAATTTTTAGGAACGCTTGATTGTTTTTGAGAGCCAAGCTTTGCAATCAAATCACCATTAGTACCTTCTTACCCTTGATGAAATTAATCCATCTTATTTATTTTGTTAGTTGGGAAAATGGCCAATTGGGCATTCTTTCTTGACATGATAGCTAAAAAAAAATTGAAAGATTCAGCCTGTGCAAGATCAGGAATAGACACTTGAGTAAACTAGATGTAAATCATAAGAAAAGAAATTTATGTCAGTTTTCCTTGTATTTTTTTTAACTTTTTTTTATTTATATTTCTATTTTAAATCTGAGCCGCTTAAAACCTTTTTAGTAATTGCACTTCTGACTTGGACTTTGTTTGGGGTTTGGTGGATTCTGATTTCTTTTTCTTTCTTAATTGAAAGGAGGCTAAACGAGCCTTGGGAGAGATTAAACCCACCACCTATCTTATATAAAGAGATCATTTTTGTTTTGTGAGAATAGAGAGATCATCTTGTTACTAAAGCAATGCACCAAGTGCAGTAGATTCTGATTTCTTATGTACTGAGGAGGTGTGTCACGTGTGTGTGTGTGTGTGTGTGTGTGTGTGTGTGTGTTTTTTTTTTTTTTTTTTTTAGTGTACACACACACAGACAGTTTTATGACCTCCGACTTAAGGGTGTAATATAATTAAAAATAAAATACAATAATTAATTTCATATCTTATAATTGTGATTTCATATTTAAAAAACATTGAATATGAAATTAAAAATAAGTAATGTTTAAAAAATTGTCATGGACATTTTTTTTGATATATGAAAATGAAAAAAATGGCATATTCAATATAAAATTAGTGAGTTTAAAATTTATATTTAAAGTTTATTAGGTTGTGAGTTAAGTTATAACACACACATACACATATAGCATGTATAAAAAACAATTTAAATAAACTATATTTAGATATAAGCAAGTGACTTCCAATAATAAGTGTAAGGTGTGTAAATATTAGGAACAAGAAATATAAAAACTTAAATCTTGCAAAATCTAATGGTAAAATAAAGTATCTGCATTTTTTAATGTAAAATAAAGAGTATCTTGTAAAATGAATAGAAATAATGTGATTGTAAGTGGTACTTTTGAGCAAACATATAACACACTAGCCAAGTGAGTTGCACAGTTCCAGCTTTCTCTTCCTTACGTGGCTGAATTATATTCCTAGTTTCTCTTTCCATGGTCACACCTCTTATACATGTTAAATTACCAACAATTGAGCATTTGGCCCCCGGGTATCAACATACACGCCAAGGAAATGAAAAACAAGTGAAAGAAAGCAGGTGAGAAGCACGTTGGGCCATTGTTAAAAGACCCTTGGAAAAAAAAAAAAACATGAAACAAGGGTTGATCCGTTAAGCTTGTCTTTTCTTTTGTTTTTTTTTTTTAGCACTCATGCTTAAAAAAATCAAGAAATTTTAGTGTAATGAAGCTCATAGGTTCAGCCCTTTAAGTTCTACAAAAACAAGCTCAAGTGATTTATTTTTTATTTTATTATTAAAAAATAAACTATTTTTTAATGTTTAAATTAAATTTATATCTTAAGAAAAAGTCATTCTGCCTCAAAGTCGCACCTTGAGGATTGAAGACTTTTAACCACACAAGTTTGAGCAAGTTCATTCCAGTCACTATCATAGTTAATAAAATTATAAGTTTCCACAAGTATATGGACTAGAATCCATGCACTTGCCACGTGGGGGCTATGCTTAGGATATGTGGTCTAGATCCTACCAGAAGGTGTCACAAATTGTTAGCATTATGATAAGTATAGATTTAGAGATTATTGCAAATTCAAAATCAGGTGTGTCTTTGGGAAAATCTCAATTACGGCCCTTAAAATACAAATATTCACACTACAGGCTCAATAGAATCCAAAAACACACTACAAGCCTGAGGGTTTTTTTTACAAATTTTATTGTGGACGAAAAGATGCAGTTGTCTTTGTCTCAATAGAATATTCATGTATATACAACATAATATTCACAAATTCTCAATATAATATTCATGAATACACAACACATCTGGTAGATATTAACTTGAAGTATGTTATTTCAATAAAAGTATGTTGTTCATTACAGATTTTGTTGTACAAATGTTGTAAGTTTACATATGTTGACTGTATTGAAAATTAATGGACATCATGTTATATATTCATGAATATTGTACTGTTCATCATTTGCTTGCTTCTACATTTCACTTCAAGTTAAATCATGTTTATCAAATGTGTTGTGCATTCATGAATATTGTATTAAAAATTTATAAATATTGTATTGTGTATACATAGACATGCCTTTGAGATAAGGGCAATTCCATCTTTTTATCCACAATAAAATTTGCAAAAAAGATCCTTAGACCTGCAATGCAAATTATTTGTGTTTTAAAGGCTCTTAGTAAGATTCCCCCAATATCTTTTGACAAGTTCTTATGATGTTACATCATCAATATCACCAATATATCTTTAATAATAGTTCCACCAAGCCATGAGCTTGAAAAATGACTTCATGGCTCTAGATACAATTTACTATTCATAGAGCCAACAATTATTTTTAGTTTTCGTGCCATGGTGGTTGATATTTTGGGTTCCACAAGGATTGGTAACATTGGGCTTTTTGAAAAAGCCTACTTCTATTTATTATCAACATCAAAAGTATAAAGTTGACCTTATTTTTAAAATTTAAATTAATCTTTTCATTCTTTTCCCTTTAATCACTTCCTCATTTATCCTGGTTTTTTCATTTTGAAATGTCCTCTTGCTTATTGGTTTGGGTGCTCATCACATGATGGTGCTCATCATCTGATGAGCAATCTAAACCATCCAAATTCATAAGTTTTATTTTATTTTTAATTGAATATTTATTAAAATATAAATAAAATTTTTCTAATCAATCTACCTTATCAGTCATTTAAATAATACAAATTTAATTTAAACATTTTAATTTTAATTTTTATTAAAAAATAATGAATATCCAATTTAATAATAAAATTTTTATAATTTTTTAAGAATTTATTGCCTAGATGTACGCAAAATAGTTTAAATTTAAGATTAATTTTTTTAATTTTTTATTTTAGTAATAATAATATTAAAAATAAAGATAATATGTAAATTGACACTTCAAAAAAATTAAAAAAAGTTGAGTTAAAAATTTTAAAATTGGATTGTCCAAAGCAATCTTGGATAATTAATTTATAAAAATTTTAAAAAATTTTAATATTAAATTACACGATAAGATTAAATCTATATTGTCTAAATTGATAATAAAATAAATTTATTGTTCTTACAATTTTTATTTTAATTATTATAAAATAAAGAACTTTTTGATTTGAACTATCTAGATTATCTGAACAGTTTAGATTACTTATCACATGATAATCACTCAAATTGAACCCAAAAGGAAACAGAGAGATTGGTATAGGTATGGTGTTTCTCAACTACAAACTAAGCTTCCAGTCATACCTTTCAGGCCAAGATGGGATCCATAGCGAGGAAGGGACTCAACAATTATGTTAGACAGCTCCGGCAAGACCCTCTTTGAACCAAAGATTCACTATTTCTCTTTCTATTTTTCTAATTTTGATCCTATTTCTATTGAACCTTTGTTTATTGAAAGTTCCGCTCCCTTTTCTTTGAAAATCAAATGGTGAAATATCATCAGGGTTCAATTTTATGAATTTTCTCATATTAATGTCAATTTCCTTTTGAGGAGCAAACCAGGTAATCATAGCAAGAGTGGTGTCTGGGATCGGTGATGTAGTATCTCAAAAGCTAATGGGCACATAGAAAATCCAACTTAAACGGCTTCTTCTCAAAGTGATAAGTCTGTAATCTTGAGTGTTCATCTGTAAGAAACGCATTAAATTATTAAGAAGTGACAAAATAAATTGGACTAAAAATTAGTAATTAAGACAAAGTGGACTGCATGAATATAAGTTGTTTGTAGTAATGTCAAATCGAGTATGCATATGACATATTTTGTCCCTTAGGAGATATTTGTGCACCTCATGGTTACATTTTAATTTATGAATGAAGAGACAGGACAAATAAGCATGAAAGTATATCACAGGTTTCCTATCTAATGAAGGTAAAAGAATGTTTGAAACTAGAAAAAAAATGTTACAAAAGAATCTATGGCCAAGGCTTTGTTATGATTTTTATGGAGAGTCCATGAACTTCGTTTCCATTATAATTTTTTTTTCTTCTATTGAAATGAGAGGTTAATAACTAGATTTTTTTTCTTCATTATGATTTTGCACAATTAGGAACAATATAAAACCAAATACCATATGTGCAGAAACCAAGAAAACCATGACAGTGTGATCAATTTTGTCTTCTTCATGAGATCAACATCTTAATAAGTTCAACATTTAGATCTTTCTATTCTTTCTTACCTTGTAACTAATATTTGCCTCACCTTAAAACATGATTTACTTTCCTACATTGGGTCGATAGTTTATCCATCCATGCTTTTACTTCTTTTATTTTTCAGAAAATATTCAAAAACAAAGACCTTGCTTTTGCCTTTGGGTTTCTCAGCTAATTGCGTAATATCGATGCTTAAACTTAGATCAACATATTCAATTAAATATATGATTAGATTAATATACATTTTAATTTTTTTAATACTTTTCCAAATACATTGCAATCAATTTGTGTCATTAAGGCTGAGACACTTCACATGAGTCTCCTTACTAGATTTAAATATTACTAAAAGAAGTGCACAATTGTCAAGTGGTGTAACTATGATGCAGGTGAATGTACTATCCTCTAATAATTAATCAATTTTGACTTGGCTCAAGTAAATGCAATATTTATGTTATGGTTTAGGTTAGAGAGCAAACTAAGATTGAGCTCAGAGAAAAGAACTTGAGAGTTGAAGATGCACTAAATGCTATGAAGGTAACATTTTACTTTCCAAACTCCTTTGGTTTAGACATGAATTAGCTATTATGTTGATATATAGACTACTGTTGAAGAAGGCATTATTGTTGGTGGTCCATACATGCTATTGCGACTTGCATCTAAGGTGGATGCTATTAAGGAGGGCCTTCACAATGATGAGAAAAAAGTAAGCCACTTGAATGATTTGAGAAAAATTTGAGTTTCTTAGGCATGGAGATATTTTTGTGCATGTGATTTGAGAAATATACACAGTTGTTGTTTTTTTGTTCAATAAATGTAAGTTTTCTATTGTTTAACTGAGTATGTGTCCAATATAATTTTTATTTATTAGAAGTTGGTGCAAATATTGTGAAAAGAGATTTTAGGTGATGTGAAGAGTGTACTCTGTATAGGGTAGTTCTTTTTAGAGAAGAAAGTAGAGTGATGTAAAATAGTATAATAACACACACACTGCCCAAGTTTCTTTATTACTATATATAGGACCAGGGTAAAAACCCTAATACACAAGAATAAGACATGTGGTAAGATAGGAAAACAATTACAATTATTTACAATAAATATCTAATGGGTTAGCTTCGGTATTGTAACATTTGGGCTTTATTGTTGTTTGGCTTCAATATTTCTTTAATAGGTTAAATAGTTGATATCTTCACATGCCCCCTCAAACGAGAGGTTGGAATCTGAGATTTAGAAATCAAGAGTGTGACATAGCCTTTGTAAATATATTGTAATGTTATCAGATGAAGGAACGTAGAGAACATTAAGTTGTTGGTCCAGTACTCTGTCTCTGATAAAGTGCACATCTAACTCAATGTGCTTTGTTCTCACATGAAATATAAGGTTCGACGCAAGAGCTACAACACTCAGATTATCGCACCAAGCAATTGGGATTGGATCAATCTTCAGACCAATCTCTGAAATTAAAGATTGAAGCCAGGCAATTTTGGTAGAAAGTTCAGCTAGCGATCGATATTCAGATTCTGTGCTGGACCTGGCAACAACTCTCTGCTTTTTCCTGAACCATGCAATTAGAGAATTTCCAAAGTAGACATAGTAACCTCCAAAAGACTTCCGATCATCTACACACAGCCCAGTCTAAATCAGAAAAACCTTATAGATTCAGGTATTTACTTGATTTGATATGCAAATTTAGATGTGATGAACCTTTTAAATAGCGAAGTAGTCTTTTTACTGCTTGCCAATGGCTGTCCGTTGGGCTTTGAAGAAACTGACTGAGCTTATTGACTGCAAACATGATGTCTGGGCGAGTCTTCACTAGATATTGCAATGCACCAATAACTTGTCTATATTTTGTGGGATTAAAAAGAGGAGTACCATCGTATAAAGATAAGTGTTTATTAACCACCATAGGGGTAGGTACAGGGGAACATCTTGCCATGCCACACTGTTTTAGGAGCTCCATGTAACATCCTAATTTTTAGATAAAAAAAATTTATGGAATTTAAGTTTTATTAAAAAATGATAATAATAGGAATTTATATTATTTGAGATTATTTGAAAATAATAATATGGTTAGGCATTTAATTATGAATTAAAAACTTATGTTTAAAATTATATAAGAAATATTTTGTTAAGATATAATTTTAAGATTTAAAAAAAATTTATGTGTGTGTGTGAGTTAAAAAAAAGAAAAGAAAGTAAAAAAAAAGGGGGAGAGGGGCTTTAGTCCCACATCGATTAGATGTGGAAAGAGGAAAAGTTTTCTCAAGTATAAAAAAGAAGCGAAGCACGCATGGTGAAGCAAAAGGGACATTTATGCAATTTGTAAAAATTACAACTAATGGCCCAAGATGCAATTTGTAAAAATTGCAAGTAATGGCTCAAGATGTAATTTGTAAAATTGCAAGTAATGGCCCAAAGGTTTGAATAATTAAATTCAAACCTATAGTTTTTTAAATATAATTTTGGGACCCACAATCTCATTTTTATATTATTTTTCTCTCTTCCTCTCACGTTGCTCGGCTTTTTCTCGCAAGGGGGGATTATTTTCTTTTTCTTCAGGTATATTCCAACTTTCTTGTTTAGATTAGCATTTAAAAATTTATTTAATTACAAAATTAATTTTATAGTTATTTTCTAAATAGTATTAGCTTTCTAGTGATATGATTATTTTTTAGAATAGAACAAATATTTTGATTAAGATTTTTCTATAGAATAGTTAATCTGATGATATGATGAATTAAAAATATAAGTTGAATTTTTTAGAGGTATAATAAATATTATAGAATATTTTCTTGAGGTTGAAACTCATGTTTAAAATTTTTTGAGTTAAACTCTAGATCTATATGGTTGAATTTATGTTGAATCTGAGATGTAGGGATAAACCTCTGATTATTAAATATTTATTTAAGAATGAATAGATATTTTTGAGGTTATAGAAAAGTGATTTGAGGCTTAAATATGATTTATTAAGGTATAAGAATTTTAAAAAAAGAATTTGGGAAGTTAAATGAGATATAAATCTTAAATTAGTGTTATTATGGATTTTAGACCTAAAACTTTCTAACTCTTTAATTTAAAGTTATTTATTAATTTCAATGTAAAATTAATATATAGTATTGTGA